GGGCCCCCCCCCCCCCCCCCCCCCCGAGATTGGTGCTGGCCAGGGCGTGGGGGCACCGAGAGAAACACCGGCGGCACTTCTGCTGGCACTTCTGGAATCAGTGATTGGCCATTGGGGGACCTCCCCCCACCCTGGTCGACAATCAGCTGCTGGTGCCCTCCCAGACTCAGGAGGCAGTCGCCCATGCTTTTTACACGTGGCACTTCCTCCACCTCAGATTGCACCTTGCTGCTTCAATTACACTGTCTTGTTTCTCCCCTGCCCCCAGCATCTCAGTTCTAAATACCTCCATTTTGGACTAGCTTAAACTTTCCTCTCCCTTCTGCTCATTTCCTTCTTCCTTTTTACTCAGCTTCCTTGCTTGATTTGCATAGTAGTTTGAGCATTGCCTCCTTACATGCCAGTCCCCCCAACGACTGCACTTCAAGACCACCTTGCACATATTTGCTTTGTGACTTGCCCCACCACACCTGTAGCAAATTGTCAGGCTACAAAATGTGTCCAGGTGGTCTTCCAGACCACAACGGCTACAGCGCTTAAGCTGACCATAATAAGTTACATAGCATCTGTGGGGTCCAATTTTAACAACTGACCAGAGTTGCTGTACTCCCCCTGGATTTCCTAGCTTTTCTTCTAATACAGCTCTTGCCCTCCACACCCCAGTCCATATCTTCCAACAGTCCAGCACACCCTCCACAAACAGCACCTTCTGCACTCATTGCTCCAGCCACCTTGTGGTGTCCTCCTTTTCCAACATATCGGTATACATCTTAAGAAATAAAACTCTCTCCTTCTCTTTTTAACCGATTTCAAGCCTTAACACACAGAGGTCCTTTCTATCTACCACCTCCTTATAATGCTCTCAAAACACCTCATAGGCATCGCGCTTCCAAAAAGTTGTTCCAGTGTTTGAAATTAGCAAAGGCCACAACACAGCTAAGGTCCTTCGGATCTATATAGAAGCAGTTAAGTGGTAGCAGTGTTTACAGTGGTCTACAAAGAGCATTACAGAGAGCCAGGTCATCGTTTCTGAGGTAAATAGAACTATTGCACAATGCTCTGTCACAATTATGAGCATTTGTGATGCAGCAAGTGTATATAAGCAATTTCACTGTCAGTTTAAGTCTTAGAGGAGAATGAGTCTGGAATGTTTTGTCTTCCTCTTATTCCAAGAAAAGGTTGATTAAACTCTTTTCTTTGTCTTCAGCTTCTCATGTCTGTGTTTGACAATAGCATGAAAACCTTTGGGGTTATTGAAAGTGACCCTTTTGATTGGGAGAAGAGTGGGACTGATGGTTCTTTGACAACAACAACAACTTCAACTACGCCTCAGTTACATACTCGTCTGACTCCAGCTGCAATTGGGTTTGTACAAATATTTCTTATGCTGAGCTCAAACACAGTTGTATAGTACTTGAGGACAGTTATTTTTAAGTTGTTACATCTGCTGCACCAGGAGTTTAAGTAATGCTCGAAATGCTAGGTCTCCATTCTTAGGGTGAATATTGAGACTTTCTAGGTAAAAAAAAAAAAAAAAAAAAAGG